ACTGAAAAAGCACTTGCGATCAGAATAGAAATTGGCGACAAGCAAGGGGAAGCGGAAGATTATGCAAATCTAGGAATTGTGTTTAGATCACTTGGTAAGTATGCCAAAGCTACAGAATATATCGAGAGAGCACTTGCCATCAACAAGGAAATAGGAATGAAGAAGGCTGTTGTTATGGAAACCTAGGAGCTGAGTTTTTCTCTCTAGGTAAATATGCCAAGGGTAAAGAAAACCTTGAGAAAGCACTTGTTATCGTGAACGAAACAGGTAACAGAGGGGGACAATCCCGATGTTAGGGATTCCTAGGAAATCTTTTTTGCTCTCTTGGAGAGTATGCAAAGGCTGCAGAATTTCTTGACAAAGCGCTTGCAATGATAAAAGTAATTGGCGACAGAGTGGGGCAAGCCGAAGCTTATAATGTTCTAGGAAATTTATTTTTCTTTCTTGCTGAATATGACAAAGCTGATGAATGTGTAAAGAAAGAACTTTAGTTCAGGATAGAAGATGGTGAAAAACGAGGGTGGGCGTCATCTTGGGAAATGCTAGGAGCTGTGTATTACAATCGGGGCGACTGGGCCAAGGCTGTAGAATGTTTGGAGAAAGCACTTACGATATGAATAGAGACTGGTGACACAATAGAACAAGCGAAAGACTGCGTTTATATCTGAAATGTTTTTCAATCGACTGATGAACATGTCAAAGCTGAAGAATATTTTGAGACAGCTCTTGAAATTAGCATAGAAAATTGTGACAGACAAGGTGAAGCCACATGTTATGAGAAACTAGGATTTTGCTCTGGAATCACTGGAAGAACATTCCAAGACTATGAAAGAATATCTGATTTTGAGAAAATACTTGCGATCAGAATTGAAGTTGGTGACAGAGAACGAGAAGCCAGATGCACTGAAATCTAGAGACGGCATTTTTTCGTCTGTGTCAACTTGTTGAGGGTAAAGAATGCCTTGAAAGAGCAATTTCGATACTCCAAGAAATTGGAGACAGAAAAGAGGAAGCATTACGGAAACCTGTGTTGAAGTCCACCTTGGTGAATATGTCAAGGCTCAAGAATATCTTGAGAAAGTGCTTTTGATCAGAAGAGAAATTGGCGATAGAGAAGACGAGACAAACGATTACGGGAGGCTAGGAAGTCTGTTTCGATCTCTTGATGGACATGCCAAGGCTAAAGAATGTCACAAAAAGGCGCTTTTGATTAGGCAACAAGTTGGCGACAGGCAAGGAGAAATGGCAGATTCTTAAACCTATACGAGCTGTGTTTATCTCGCTTGGTGAATGTGTCAAGGCAAAAGAGCATCTTGAAAAAGTACTTGCGATCACAATAGAAATTGGAAGGAAGGGTAGGCGTCATGCTACGGAAGTTTCGGAGTTCTTTGTCGACATCAAGAGGAATATGTCAAGACTAAAGAATATTACGAGGAGGCACTTGTGATCAATATAGAAAATGGTGACAGACAAGGAGTATTCATATGTTAGGGAAACTTAGGAGCTGTTTTGATATCCGTTAATGAATTCGCCAAAACTTAGGAGGACCTCGAGAAGGCAGTTTCCATGTGCAAAGATATTGGAGATCGCGAAGGAGAGTTTATGTGCCATTGTTATCTTGCGCTCGTGAAGTTATGGGGAAAAAGATCGATGAAGCCTTTTAGATACTGCTCGGGTGCATTAAAGGATTCGAGGATTCGCGGGATCATCTTGGAGACAATGATGAATTTAAGATATCATTTTTCGACGTGTATTGTTCTTCGTACTTGCTGCTCAGTGGTTTGCTGTCTGCTAAGGAGTATCCTGGTCTAGCTCTTAGTGTGGTTGAGCTGGGAAGGGCCAAAGCCTTAGCTGACCTATTGTCCACGAAGTATAGTGTGGAAAGCCAATATCCGTTAGTCTGGTTTCATGGTATGGTATTGAAAGAACTATGGAAAACGAAAGGAACTGTACTATCGCTTACATTTCTGACTTTTTTCAAGATTTATATCTTTGGATTCTCAAGGCAAGAGGAATCATTCAGTCTCTAAGAATAAAAGCAATCAGAGACATTGTAGATGGCGGAATTAGACATGGACTTAGATGACTTTTTTACATCGAGTTTCAGGAGCTTTTGCTTTTCATCCGAGGAACAGTGCGAAGATTGATCTTTAAAGGTTATTCAATCGAAACCTTTGAAGAAGATAACGTTGCCACTCGTCGACTTTTGGTGGAGGATGAAGAAAACCTAATATCCAAACCAAGCCTTCTTTTGTGTTTCGAGATGATCATCGCCCCTGTGGTTCACTTACTCCACGAACCAGATATCTTCTTTGTTCCTGATCGCTCTTTGTACAAAGTTCCATTTGCAGCGTTACACGACGAAAGTGGGACGTTTTTATCAGAAACTTTCAGGATCCACATTATGCCTTCTTTGGCGGCTCTGAAGCTCATTCAAGACAGTCCTGCAGACTATCACAGTCAGAGTGGTGCACTGCGGTGGTTGATCCTGAGGTTGGTTGGGTACATTACAAGGGATACCATGGGAAGTTATCACCACGGCTTTGCGCGAAAAAAGAAGCAGAAACGATCGGGCAACTGGTTGGTGCTCAGCCTTTGTTAGGACAGGAAGCAGCTAAGAAGGCGGTGCTTTAAAGTATACATTCAGTGAGTCTGATGCATTTTGCTGCTCATGGTGATGCGGAAAGGGAAGAAATTGCTCTTGCCCCTCAACACACAACTAATGACACTCCAGAACAAGATGATTCCCCAACCTATGTCTGACATTGCTCAAGTCCAGCTGGGAGCTAAACTGGTAGTCCTGAGCTGTTGTCACAGCGGAACTGGACAGATTCGATCCGATGGAGCTGTTGGGATTGCCCGAGCGTTAATTCTTAGGATCCGGTGCTCGCTCGGTGTTGGTGGCACTGTGGGCCCTACGAGAGAGTGTAACAGAACAGTTCATCGGAGTCGTTTTTACGAACACCTTGTACGTGATGTAAGCGCCAGTGAATCTGTTCACAAAGCAAAGTGGATGCGGCGTAACGGCTATTCTCACGTGGCATACCGGGCACCATTTTTACTGATGGGAGATAACGTGACGTTTGAGTTTGCAGGAAAAACGATGAACATGGTACTGATGGTAAGTCGAATTAATATAACAAGCATTTCATTTCATGAAAATTCTGTGTATTAGATCAACCAAATTAAATAGTCCTTGAGCATATTGATATCAGACAAGCAAATTTCGCCACCAAGCTTCGCTTTGAAAATGCAAATTGTAAATTTATCGTGGACAAATTTCCAAAGCAGCAAAGATGAGAAGAATACCCTCGTAAAAATAGCATGAAGGTACCTGAGGGAAAAAATTTCTCTCAATCGAAGCTTGGTGGTGGATTTTGAGCGTGTGGCGTAATCATGCATAAGAACTATTGAAACTAGCTTCCCTTGTTACAATTGGGAAGGTCAATCAATTTGGACGTCAAATTGGGCGTCTAGTTGGAACCCATACAAGCTATAAAGATTTTTTGTTGTAGTTAATGTATGGAATAGATGGCGGATTAATCGCCATTAAAGTTGGCGTACCACCGGCATTGAGTGTTGTTCATCTGTGGTTCAGTCTTGACCAGTCTTGACTGTCTATAGCGTTGGCGAATTCAGTTGTAAACTACTCGTTTTCTAACTGACAGAGCAGTTGTTGATATACTTTATCTCCTTCTATTGTGTTTTAAGAAGGAAAAGCAGATCAGTAATTACTCTAGTTGGATGTGAAGCACGTCTGAACTGAGGAGGATGTGCTGACCATCTGTTCAGTCGTACTGCAAAACTTGTACAAACCTCGGCGAATCATTTTAATTCAGTGCTATTGTCTGAAAAGGGTCTACACACAAACAAGTATCAGACATTGTTATTAAACAAGTTTAATGTGTAATATGCATGTAATTTTAAAACGCCGTAAACTTTCGAAAGTAACGACCCTCGTTACCGTCCGAAATTTTTTAGCATCCGAAATTCAAAGCGTCAGAAATATTTACAGTACAGTATAAAACCTCGAAGAAGCAGTAAAACTATCATTTTCACATATGTTTCAGTCTAAAACGTGTTTCGTAGGCGTAAATTTACGTTAGCTATATATGTTTCGGCGCAGTGTCCGAAATTTTTGTCCGAAGTGTGATAAATAGTGTCCGAAAATTGAACGTCCAAAATAAAACTTCTCTGCAGGCCGAACAGGGGAAACATCCATTCCTATTTACACACTGTTGGCTTCATCCGGTCAGAGGGAGCTTCTTCTGGTTCCATTAGTGCCCCGTTACTTTGGGGAATATATGAGTCTCCGGCCTCTATGGTCAGATCTGGATTACTTATGCTCAGGTGGCCCCCTCCTGCGAAACAAGTTACTCGTGCAATAACCTTCGTACCTTCAGCTACTAAACGGGTTTTATTCTTTTTACACCAATTAAACGCATTTTCCATTTGCCACCAGCCATCTTTTGTCGCCGAGTCAGATGGCCTATTTTAATGGTTCACACTTTTGCATACATTGTCTTGAGGTGTGCACTCGACGGCCTGCAAAAATGGTAATGTTGGGAACTTAAATTCAAATGCCAATGCTAATCTCAGATTAATTTCTCAGTTCGAATTATTTTATAGTGTAGAAGGAAATGAATTGAAACAAGCATTTTTTTGATACATTTTTTTCCTTTTGTTCTCTAGTTCAAAGATAATTGACCAGCTACACAAATATGACTTTTAAACGCATAAAGCAATGCGCCATATTTTTCTCGAAAAGCAACTATAGTAAGTAATTTCATCGCTTTTTTTAAATTTTAAACGTGCTTAAAACGATGTAGCTTGAAATTCAAATGGACTGGCGGACTCACTGAATAGGAAGTGTCTCGTTAACAATTTCGTTTATATTTTACTTAAGCAGTGGTCATCAAAGATGAATTGCAAAAAGAAAGATTCCCCGAAACAAACATTCAGCATTTGGTTAACGCGTCTCTTTCCATCTAACGTAAACTGGGGGAGTTAGCAATTTAAACCACAGGTTCACCTGCATTGAACCATCCAGCAAATATTGTAAATTAAACCTGGCTTCGAATCGACCAGAGTAGCCTCTGGTCTAATCTAGTCTACTTTTTTTTTCTTAAATTAAATAAAGTGTTGGAGTGTTGTTAGGTCATCTGATCGTGATGTTTTCAATGATGAGAAAGAATTTCTTTCTTCTGGTAAACTATTTGCGATAAAAGAGAAATTTGAGACGCAGTCGGCATTACTTTATATGTAGAATAATGGGAAAAAAAAATGAATGGAAAATAAACGCGACGTTGTACTGCCGAGTTAATTATCATTCCGTCACAGCAGAAATTTGACTTTGGATCTAGATAATTTTTTCTACTGCTAACTGGCTGGAAATAAATTAAAAGGCGCCATTATAATGAACTTGCTAGCACCATTAATCTGGTCGCAGTTGAAATTTAGCCCGTAACGCTTTGTTTGACGTTTTTTTTAGTATTAAATAGAACCAAAACGTTTTCCATGGTTTATTTCGGTTCTCTAGAGAATAGAAGATACCTTACACAGTATGTCCGCAGAGATGTTGAAACTCTTCCGAACGTTTGGAAGAATCGTAACAGCTGAAGCAACACGAGTAGAAGGAGAGAGCAGTGTCCGAAAGAATAGTTTATGAAAGGACTTAATGTCATGTCAAGTTACTAAATAAAAAAGGTTAGGCAGACATTATGTTGCGTTGTAACTCAAAAGCAAGAAATGTATTAAAAAGACTACAGCTCTCGACTAATTCTTTTTAGTATTTTTTTTTTCAATTTAATTAAAAGTTAAAAAGTGTTTTAAACTTTCGAAATAATTATTCAGTATTTATATTTGGAGCTATCCGTTTGTCTAGCGTACTCAAACCACCGATCAGTCAAACGTAAACGATACTATATTTTCACTGTCATGTTTGCGTTACATTAAAGCATAGTTTAAAGGTGTGATTGCAAGGGGAAACACGATGCTTTGTTCATAGGGACCAATATGAGTTTAACAAGTTTCCTCAGGTGGAAGGTGTGATGAAAGAGAGTTATTGTTGAGCAATAACCACCAGTCTTTTCTGTTCGTGTTTGTACATCTTTTGTTTCTTTTTGTTGAAAAACGTGGTATAGATGTTATATAGCATCTAGTTGCAGCAATTTGTTCCAATGTGCTTCTTCGACACCAGAGCGAACATGGCCTTCAAACAGATTTTCGTCCTTATTATTTTCGCTTTTGCTGTTGATGCGCTGAAATGGAAAAATTGTGGTATGTAAGCATTTTTCCTTGTTAATATCTTTAGGAAGCACAAATTTATAAATTTATAAACTTTCACAAAATTGAAAGCAAGACGTCCTAATCAGAGCTCTAAATTTAGTGACGTGGAGGACGAAGCACCGCCGATTTTCATTTTTCCAAGGTGTTAAGACACCAGAAATAAATTTCTATGCTACTTTTCATCGTTTTTAAATCAGTTTTTGCATTACATTTTTCGTCACTGTTTAACACAAAACCAAATCCAGTTGAATGTGTTTGAAAATTCAATCCAGTTCCACTAAATTTGTGCCAAATGATCGCTTACTCATTCCTACTGTCGGATTCAGACAGTCTTCTGTGAATGCGAGATCGACAAACCCTAGAACATACCTAATCGACAAATGCATGATATAGGAACCTATTAGGCTGTGAAAAGGATGGAATTGTCTTAATTTTAGTTTCGAAACGACTGCAGTAAATGAAAAGCTCTGCAATTCTTTTTCATGCCTTGTAGATGATGTGAGCTAAATTAACAAGACGGAGCGCTGTCTCTTTATTTGTACTATTAGTTGTGCAAGAAAGCCAGATATTATAATTTTTTGAACCCAAGAGTATTAGTGGTTCGTGTAAAGTGTGATCTTCCCGGTGAGGGTAGACATTAACGGTTCAACTGAGAAGTATAAGTCTGAATACAAAAAGGAACTGGGCTACTGCCCGTGTACTTTCTGTTTGTTACTAGCTAAAACTAAACAAATGTGGATGGGCACAGACCAAGTGTAAGGTCGTGGAAGATATGCATTATGTCAAAAGAAATCTTTTACGTGAATATTTACCAGTCTCATGCTTTAGAAAAGTAAGACACAAAACCACAAGAAAACTACGCGGGATCATTCAGGAAAGTGCCCGATCAGTAGAATACAAGGACTCGCAATAGAGCAATCTGATTGGCTGCTGTAAGTTATTGGCCCTCTGAACTAGCTTCGTTATATAATAAGGCCGGATGTTGGCCAAGGTCTTTGTTTGCTTGTTCATATAAGGACCTTCCATAATCGCGCAAATAAGAGCAATGCCCGAATAGCCTGCCATCCTGAGCGTACAAGCTTGGTCAATAAAGTATTTATCATGTAACAAACATTTCCTTGTGGGGCACAGCGAGCAATCCTTAGCGGGTAAGGTAAGCCCATCTTGCCCCCTTGGGCAGCCAAACACATCCAGTATTCGGTTCACTTTGCCCACTCGCGGAGTTAGCCATATAATCCACACAATAGGTCATAACTGCGGAAGTCTATGAAGCACTTCTGCTCATAATAATGTTAAAGAAAACGGAAAGTAGCCTTTCTTTAGCATAAAAACCAGGTGAACCATTGCTGTGACAACACATTACAAAACAATTTATTTAGACTAAGATTTACGAAGCTTTTCAGCATAATGTACGAAAGATATTTAAACGAAGAACACTTTGAATAGATTTGTAATTTTCGTAATTTCCTGTGCTAGCGCTCCAAAAATTTATTGCCTAAATGTGTTCCGAACTAGGATTTCGTTACTTTGTTTATTCTAATATCGTTTTAAAACCGTTTTGTCCTCTCCTTTATAGATAGGAGTTCTCCTGTAGAGATCAATGACATACAACTCAAGCCAAACCCTGTGGTTGTCAAGGCAGGTGCAGAAGTCACGTTCAGTGGAAGGTTTACAGTAGCTGGTGCGGCAGGCACGCGGTACGAACTGGACGTGACCTTGTGGAGATCAGGATGGTGGGGGACATGGATAAGAGTGCCTTGTTTTGGACAGTGGTAAGTTGTATACCTCAGTTCAAACTTTATTTTACATTGCATGAATTAGATTCCTCGTTAAAGAGGGTCTCAATGGAGGGTCCCTTTGACGGTTGACGGATAAAAATTAGCCGTTTTGACGGTTGACGATTACATTTTAGGTCATTTGACGGTTGACGGTTAATTTTTCGGAATGGCGTTTATAACACGAAATTAAAGCGCAAATTTGGCTGAAATTTTTCATATAAGGATACAATTTTGTCCATATTTCAAATTAGTGTCTAATTAAAGTAATCACATTACCTTTGTTACCGCTGGACGTATTAATCGTTTGCTCCCGAGTTTAAGAGTTTTTGAAAGGACTTGCACATTAATTTGTTTTGTGATATAGTAAAACGGTTATTTATAAACAACATAATTTGACCCCATTTAAGTCAATCGTTTAGTTCTTAATTAAGGATACTGAGACATTTGACGGTTGATACTGGCTTGCTCATGTGACGGTTGACGGTAAAAATATTGCGCTTTTGACGGTTGACGGTTATTTTTTTGGCCATTTGACAGTTAACCCCATCTGAACCCTCGTTAAACGGTCGGATACTAGAAGATAGCAGTTGATGGCAAATACTGATGTTAGCACGCAATTTAGTTTCTATTTGCTCGGGTGAACGAACGAATAAGGGAAACAAGGAAACATAAAATATAAAGACGGCTAAGGTAAAACAACTTATTTACAAATATCAAAATTGGCTAAAATAGAGTAGGACTAAGTAGAGCTAAGTTGAGTTATGAAATTACAGATTTTAAATTGTTTCAAATTTGCGATAGTCAAAAAGTCATTCGTGACCCTCTAAATCATGAGTGGCACATAAAATATAGTTTTAAAAAATATGTATAAGATTTTGTAGGTCCTTAAAGGATGCCTATGCAGCTAGTGTGGGATCTTCCGTAATGCCCTCTAGTGCTCGTTTGCCTTATTATGAAGAACAAAATACTAATCAAATTCCCAGATCCCTTGCGGATAAAGCCCACAAGAGATCTGGGAATGAACACTTCATTCCCGACTGTAATGAAGAATGGCATACACTCTAGGCTATATCACACACTGAAGGGAACACCGGATGCCTTCAATTTTAACTACGATACCCCTTGGTGGATGTGCAGTTCTACCTCGCTATTTCCAAGGCACTAATAAATGACTGAGAAAGGGTATCCAACGGAAAATAAAGTTTAACTCGAGACAGCGGGCAGTACGAGAAAACGAGGTTCAACTGTGTTTGCGATAGAGATGTCCATAATTGTTTTTACAATAACTGTCCAATTTCTCTCGCGCTGATTGGCTCATTTTTATCATCAGTAAGAGTACAGGCGGATAAAATTTTAATTTATGCAAGCTTTCAAGTTCAACTTTCAGCTGTCCAACTGTCAATTTTTTAACCAATGAAATTTCATTGACTTTTTAAAGTAGCCAATCAAAAAGCGAGAAAATCTATTGACAATGTTCGCGTCATTTTGAATAAAATTCACTTATCTTTGTTTACGGCAAGTTTACGGCGTCTTTTTCCCTCATTTATGACCGGCATTTGATCATTTTGAGGTCTTGTTACTGTAAAAAACAAATTGACGTCAGTTTTTTATGCGTCTATCCTCTTGTTGATGATGAATTTCGTCAAAACATTGTCAAAGTTTACTGCGGAACCACTCGCCTGCGGCTCGTGGTTCCAAAGCCACTTTGACAATGTTATGACGCAATTTATCATCAATGAGAGGAAAGACACATAAAAAAAACTAACGTCAATTTGTTAATCAGTGGAAATATTTTTTCATTTTCTTTTCACTGAAGCAATCGGGACATTGGATGTGATGAGATGGTGAAGTTGCTTGAAGGAGCACAATGTCCTCTAAAAAATGGAGAGTACGTAGTCAAACATCAAACTCACAAACTGTCTAACGTCAGCATTCCATCATTCATCAAGAATGTAAGTAAGAATTTAAGTATTAAGGTGGCAAAAATAGATCTCCGTTTGTGTTTTAGAATTTTCTTAAACCCCCCCCCCCCCCNAAAAAAAAAAAAAAAAAAGAAAATCGTTTACTAATAGAAGTTTACTGACGTATACATGGTACATGTCTATATTTTTTTTAACTGGACTCACGACCTTTTGGAGATCAGCAGGTCTTGTTTTATTTAATTACATCAATATTATCAATCGTGGTACAACCGTACGAAAGTATTTATAAAATGAAGTTTTTTATTTGTTATACAAATTTAGCGGACTTCATAAACAGAATACCATGCCCATTTAGTAGATAACTGGCCCTCAAGCCGGTTGTTCATTTTTTTGCTGCTACACCGTGCTGACGAGACCCAACCAGGTCGAAACAGCTGTCCAAGGTTGCAATTCTTGTCTTTCATATCGGATTCTATCATGTCCTTGTCGAGTTTTGAGGTGTAATCAGCCTTGCTTCATTGTTTTATTCGTAAACAGGACTCGCAGAAACACCTCAACAATGACGTCATGGTGACACCGTAACGCCGGTTCTTGTTGCTTCTTTCCACTTGTATATGTATTTCTAAATCGTTACTGATTGAAAGAGGGAAAGAAAAAAACCGGGGAGCACCTACTTTTGTGAGGGTAGATGGTGAGAATCTCGTCGTTCCCGTTTCCAAACCTTCTCCAAACTTCAAGGGTAAAGCCTTGGGAATGAGCTTGCCCAAATGTGCTTAACATTCTTTTGGTGGATTTGAGGAGGGGGTGAGGGCGGGGTGGCGGCACCTACAAAAATGGCTTTTACTGGAGATAATTAAGACAATCCTCAAACGACGACATTAAAAATATCTTCTCAAACTCGTTAATAATTCATCAAGTTAAGATAAAAGAAATTATAATCTTAATGGCGTTTAGATATCTGATCTTAAAAAGCATAGATTTTTTTCGATTTTTATTTCTCCTCGTTCTCCAAAGAGTTAGCATGTTTAGCTTGGATTGACAAGATATCAATCGTCAGAGAAGTGTTTTATTTAGCTCTTTTTAACCGAGCAGGAGGTCGTGTGTACAGACCTCACTACGTTCGGTCTGTACTCCTGACCTCGGTCAAGATTCTCACATACAGACCGACTAAGCTCGGTTAATAAGATCTTTGTTATATGGCAAACAAGAAAAAATTAATTCGTTTAATGTAACTGGTTTGTACTAGTTGACATTTTGCTTGCGAACGGCGATGAGCTGAACTTCATTCTGCCAAAGTTTGCTCGTCCTCTTTACTTTTTTTCCTCATCAGGCTTGGCACTTCCATAATATGAATATTTTGGAAGAAAATAGTCAATATTTTTGTTTTTAGTTTGCAACTTTTTCACGGAAAAATGTAATCGTTCGAGATGCCGGTCTAGATGGGAAAATCTAGACCGCGGTCAATATCGATTTCAGCCAATCAAATTCGTAAATTCGGTAGTTCCCAGTACTTGTGAGACACAGCCATGTAATAAAAACAATTATTGGATGAGGTTTTTGTGATATCCGGAATAATCAAGGTCGAGGTAAGTGTTATCAGCCGAAGCTGAAGGCTGAGGCTGATAATTCGGAAATCACAAAAACCGAATCTCATAACTGTTTTAAAGAAAATAACGACAAATGCACTATCGCACCGAACACAGTTTATTTTCGACAAGCCATGTTCTTACGTGATCTTGACATTGCTCTTGGAAATCATGCATTGCGCGCGCAACCTACGGATTATTCACTAATCCGCCAGCAGATTAGTGAATAATCTGTGGGTTGCGCTGTTTCCCAGAATTAACTGTAGGGTTTTAGCCAATGAGACGACAGATGGTGACTACAAGGTATAATAAAAACGATTATTGCACTCACGCTTGTTGGATATGAAATGATGATAGTCAACTCAAAGCTACATGCCTCGTTGGCTATCCATTGTCTCATATCCAACCTGCACTCATGGAGTAACCGTTAATTATTTGCGGGCTTCATAAAAAGAGCTAAGCTTTCTTGGGAATCCACTTACTTTAGAGCTATTGTGGTTATGCTTTGATATGGTACGAGCTTGTACTTTGTGGTATAAATGAAGCTAAAGTATTGATTGAATGATTGAATGTATAATACAATGAATCAGTTAATCTTTTGCTGATTTTGCCGACTTTCACACATAGTGTACTGAACTATTAAGAAAAATTCATTTTTCTTGTTTTTTTTTTAAAGTTTGTTTTGGGATATATTTATCAAGACCTATTAATCATTTTAGTTATAAGCTGAAGCAATAAGTTCAATTACTCGCAAATTAGCAAATACATTTACAATACATCAGTATCTCATTTACCATATCGTAACTACTAGTACGATAAAACTGAATAATTGGAAGCCCCACAGGAGCACACTTTGTAATTCTCTGTAATAGCACCCTATTCTCTAAAATACCTCATACTTTCACCTTCTACAATCGATCACTGACCTTTCGAGTTTAAAATCTTAGTAGTGTCTTTCATTTTTTCATGATAATTCAGTTTTATCCTAATTACAAGTATAACTTGTTAGCCACACATGTACTCACTGCGGACCTATTTTTTCTCAAGTATCCGAAGCAAATGTGGAGTAAAAACCGAAATCATGAATCATGAATCATGAGTGACGATGCCGAGGCGTACCACAATGGTTGGGTTTCTGCGTTTCCCAGTCCTGACAAAAAACTCCTTTGTAGTTGGCATGTTGACCGTTGGCGCCGTAAGGTAAACGAATTGATTAAAGACAAAGATCAAGCTGAGGAAGTGTATGCGGCTCTGAAGACGCTGCAAAACGAGATTTAGGAGGCTAGTTTCAGGAGCTCCTTACAGCAGTTTCTGGCATGGCTAAGAAACGTATCGCAACCTATGGCCACGTATTTCGAGAAAGAGTACGCCTCTCAACTAAGAGTGTGAGCTACATGCTTTCGCATTGGAGCAAGAGCGAACACGAACATGTTCGTGGAAAGTTTCCATCGAACCTTAAAGGAGGTCTACCTGGAGCGTAAGCAGAACAAACGTATTGATCATCTGTTATCTACACTACGCAAAATCGCCCGTGACAAGGCATATGAACAGTGGATTAAGGCAGAGAAGGGAAAAGTCACCATTCGTCAGCGGGAAAGTACCAAGAGACACAAGCAGGCAGAGTCAATGCTAAGCGAACTAGTATCAATACAGGATGTCGAGTCTTGGCAAGTTCAATCGATGACTGACAAAACGAAGATTTATCACGTAAGAAGAGTTGATTCCTCAGTCTGCAAATGCTTATTGCGATGTTCCCTCTGTGCAGCCTGTGTACACTCGTTCAAGTTCACCTGTCTTGATTACGCTATAAGAGGGGTTATCTATGTACATATTCACGCTGTCAATATCGCAGAGCCCGCCGAAAATCCCAGAGACATTACAAGTAACGAAATTGATGACAAACGCGAGGAACTGGGAAATTTAATTCATGCCGAGAAAGAACTTCAAAACGACAAAGAGCTGGAGTATCTGAAGAGAAGTCCACTGGCCACCAAAGCAGAGTTCACTGAAGTTATTCACTAAAACGGCACCAA